CTGCTTCAAGCTTCCTCAGTCAGTGTCAAGGAGAAAACACTCCTCTCATTTCCAGTGTTAGCCCCACAGTCCAAGCTCCTAAGGTCGGCGCTCAATTCTTAGGATCCTTCTTTCCGGTATTTCCGGCCTCTGCTCACAATGGCCATTTCCGTCTTCGTCTGTGCATAAATCCATCTTGCCAACTCTGTCAAAACCTTCATCTTCTACACAGGTCTGATTTTTCCATTTCATTTATGTCTTCAAGATCTTACCCACCCCTACTCTTTGTACTGCTCGGTTTCTAACAGCATCGCTGTGAGAAACGTGTGGTGCAGGTGGCCAAGCAGTCTTCTTTCGCGACATTCCGCAGTATTTCCTCATTTCATTTTCCAGCACATTTTTGCTTCATTTGATGCAATTTATGGATTCATAAGACTTCTCCTATTATATTCATGAAACAACTCTATTATTTCTGTTGCCCTTGGCTAGGGAAACTGCTGGTTCTGTTTGGATGATTTATTTGGATGATTTATTTTGCATCCTTCAAAACTCATAGTTTCCAATGGTGGTACCCATTAAGTATCATTCCTTTTGATCAATATCCAGCTTATAATTTCCTATCATAGACATCATCGTTTCAGGTCAAATCTTCACTCATCTAGCTTAGCTCAATGTCCTTCCTTATGTTAAACGAAACCCAGTGGACTCATGATTCAATGTCAGAAACACCCTGTTTCTTTCATTATGATTTTGACAAGCATTGAAAACTATTTAAAGCCTTTGTCTAAAACATTAGGCTTGTGGTCTTGGCAAAATGGTACGTCTTGTTAGCATTTAGTTGTCTCAAACACAGTGTTCTTATCTCAGACACAAAGTTTATATTTCACCAACTATTCATCTGAACGCAAGAATGCCAGTTTTTATTTCCTTCCTGTCTTACATTGTGTCAGGCACACAGAAGTTGTCAACTAATTTGCTCAATGGCCTAATGTTGACTATTACTCAAAGAAGTAATAATATGTGCACCATGTCACAAAAGGAGACTTTTTTATCTTAATAAAGTGTCGTTAAACAAACGAACAAAAAGACTTTTAAATGGATTTCTTGGGAGGTTATAGGAGGCACTGTAACATTGATTACGCAGGGGTTTCCAACTTTAAAACAGATTGCCAGGGGTCAAATCCTTGCTATCCCACCTAGTGAAACTTTGGGAAAGTTAACCAACATCCTTGCATGCTAATATCTCTCCGTAAAACCAGGGGAGACCACAGGAACTGCTTCATGGAGCTTTTATGTGATCAAATGAGTTATGCCACATACTGCAAGCAATTCTGGTATGTAGGAATTGCTCTATAAATGCCAGTTATTACTAAATGTTTGTTACACATGTAATGGTAGTACCTCAGAGCTAAGAGTACCTTCTTCACTTTATTAATTGAAGAGCCGAGGAACCAAAGTAATTAGCTGTCTCATAAATGCAGAGCAAATTTAGAAGCTAAAACAAAAACAAAACAAAACAAAACAAAACAAAAGAAACCACAGTTCTCTTGACATATTTTCAATGGGATTTTTCTTCTTAAGAATTCTATATCTGAACACTAACTAAAGAACATTCATGGGTGTTTAGTTTAACTCTCCCATAAGGGACCACAAGGCATAATCATTTATCACAAGCATTGCCTCTTTGCCGGGAATTCTATTTCAGAGATTCTTAGTAATGGAAATGGGGTGGATAGGGATGCTAAGAGACCTTGTATCATGGCCCCAAGTAAAACTAAGAAACACATGAGCAACAGAACTAGATGCCAAGGTCAGGTCCTCTGAGTTCAGATGAAGCCACTTAATGTGCATCTTCTGAAAAACAAAAATGCGCGGGGAAGACGTGGTCTGGAAGAGTCATTATGAAGCTGTGGTCCAGTCCATCTTGCCCGTACATGAATGTTTTGCAGATAGTGAGAATGCCTTGCCCAGGAAGAATCTGAAATTATGATTTTGATGAACTCGGAACAACCTCTTTAACAGCCAGGAAAGTCACAGGAGCCAAGTACCCATGCCAGGCATGATTTCTGATGGTTTTGGCTTTCTTTGTCATTGTCCGGAACAGTATTCAGCCTGGTTGTGCAATCAGGTAACCAGTGTTTTAAAATCCAATCATTCAATCTAGCAGAGATAGACTTTCAAGAGGAAATGCAGCAACACAAGATTGCTATTAACTAGGCACAAATAAACCTCTAAGAAAGAATTCTTTCATCAGATGGAAAAAGATGCTGTTTTCTGCCTCAACTTAACAATCTTAAATAAAGACTTAACTTCTCTCTAATTCAAATTAAATTGTCGTAAGTAGCAGGCATGGTGAGAAAGGAGACCACGCTATGTGTCCAGAAAGAATTCTGATCGCCCATTCCCCAAACTGCCAACAAGACTCAGAGAATCCACATTTTCGCTGTAGATTATTTTTAAATACATTGTTGTAGTAACCAGATTCTGAGCTTTATTGCTTGGAATTTTATTTCTCAAAGCATAAAGCTTCCATTACATCAAATCAGAAAATTTAATTACCTCCTTTACATTGAAGATGAAGCAGACACCCTCCAATGACCCCACAGTGACATGCCATTCCTCTTTTGTGTTTTTAGTATTTTACATGTATCTCTAAATTTACTGGTGACAGTGACTTTTTATAGTTTGGGTTGTGAGCTTAGCCTTTAATGGCTGAGCCATCTTTCCAGCCTCAAAATAACTTTAATACCTACCTATGTGTGATGTCTGATTTGTAGACTATAAACTCTTAAGTTAAGAGTCCCTGTCTCATGTATCTCTGTAGTCTTCAGAAGACTTATAGAGTCTTGGATGTACCCTCTGCTCCGTACATGTGCTGTTTAGCTTCAACTGTACATTCACTAAGCATTCCTCACTTGAAAAAAATGTGACTAATGGATTCTTAGTGTGGAATGTCTTTTCTTTCATTTCTGGGATATTTTATTTTTGAATCATAATCTTTAAAAAATACCATAGCGGATCAGCACTGCAATTTGGGGGTGTTATTTCCTTACAAGAAAGTGCCTAGCAAGTATTGCTAAACATTATTTTTATGGAAATTTGCAGAGGTTTCTGTTGAAGGACACCCATACATCTCCTTGTGACAGAGGAAAAGAGAAAGCCCAGAGGTGTATCAAGAGGCTAACCCCAGAAGACTATTGTGCTGCCTATAAAAACTACACAGTACCCAGGTCCTACATCTGAAAGCCAGTAAGTATGCCAAGTTATTTCTTTAATGGTTTTTCTGAGAAATTAACAGGTTTAATGTTTATGAAATATTTAGCACATTTCTATTAGGCCCATAGACAAGACTGGCTGAATGATTTACAATGTTTAGTCTAAAATAAAAACGCAGAGTCCTTTATGCCATGATTAAAATTTCAAGACAGCATCAGCAGAGCAGTTAGTGAAGCAAGCCTTCCTAAACAAAGAACCTTCCGTGTCTGCACTGGTCCCACACCTAGGAAGCCAGGCCTGATCTTCCCAGGACAGCTTCTGTGCAGTGGGAGGCAAAAAGCCTGTGATTAGGACAGAAGCAAAATTTAAGTGCATAAAAGGAGCTGCAAGAAGCCAGAAAGAGCTCCTAATTTTGTAAAAGGTTACATTTAGCTTAAAAAATAAGTAATAATACTCCGACATTGCTGGTGGGAGCAAGATGGTACAGCCCCTTTGGATACCAGTATGGCAATTTCTCAGAAAATTAGGAAACAGCCTTTCTTAAGACCCAGCAATACCACTTTTGGGTATATAGCTAAAGGATGCTCAATCGTACCACAAGAACATGAGCTCAACTATGTTCATAGCAGGGTTGTTTGTCATAGCCAGAACCTGGAAACAACCTATATGCTCCTCAATCGAAGCACAGATAAGGAAAATGTGGTACAGTTACACAATGGAGTACTACACAGTAGAAAAAAATAATGACATTTTGAAATTTGTAGGCAAATTGATGGAGCTAGAAAACATCATATTGAGTAAGGTAACTCAGACCCAGAAAGACAATTATCATATGTACTCACTCATAAGTGGTTTTTAAACATAAAGCAAGGAAAACCAGCCTACAAATCATAATCCCAGAGAACCTAGACAACAATGAGGACCCTAAAAAGAGACATACATGTAGAGTAGAAAAGACAAGATCTCCTGAGTAAATTGGAAGCATGGGGACCATGGGAGAGGGTTGAAGAGGAGGGAAGGGTAAGGGAGGGGAACAGAGAAAAATGTATAGCTCAATAAAATCAATCAATCAATCAATAAGTAAATAAAAGGATTTACTTTAATGCGTATGTATGCATATGAATGCACCACATGAATGCCCAGTTCCCTTATAGGCCAGAAGAGGGCCTTGGATCTTCTGGACCCGGAGTTACAATGACATTGAGCACCACCTGGGTGCTGGGACCCAAGCTAAGTCTTCAAGAGATACAAGTACATTTAACTGAGCCAGTTCTCCAGCCCCACTAAACTCAATTTGGGGAGAGCAGCTGGAGACGAAAGCTATTCTAGATTAAAGGAGTAGCGTTGTGAGCAGGCAGGAGTCCTCTGTTAAACTTTAGGACAGGATTAAGTTTTAATGAGCTCCAATCATGTAAACCCTAGGAATGGCAACCAAAATTGAGACTTGAAAGGCAGGCAATGGCCCATTATAAAGACTGAACACTGCAAGGGTCTACAGTGTACCAACCACCACCGTGTCATTTTAAAGCATATTTGTGTGAACAGTCATTTTACAGGTTTGGGTGTACCACAGTAATGTTGGCACGTAGTAAAACGGCAAGCCATTAATACTTGGAGGATGCCTAGCAGATCTGTTTTCCTCAAGACACAGTCCTTCTAGCTCCTAGTCTGGGTGTTAGTCTCTTTCTGGCTGTCCTTTCTGCTCCGACCCTGAGCCCCAAGTAGTCAGTCCCTGCTCCTCGTCCCGCCCCCGCCACTCCACGTGCAGAAGAGTGGGCGGCAGGAGTACTTCCGGGTGACGGAGGTCGGCCCCGGCAAGATGGCGGCCCCCTTGGAGCTCAGCTGCTGGGGAGGTGGCTGGGGGCTCCCTTCGGTGCACAGCGAGTCCCTGGTGGTGCTGGTGAGGCCGCCTCGCGGGCCGGGGCGCGGGAGGACTGGACTGGCTCGCTGCGGGCTCCGCTGGGGATGGATGGGCGGGCTTCCCGCAAGCCTCCGCTCTGGTCGGCCTGGCCGTGCAATCTCCATGCACGCCCGCCCTCCCGGCATCCGCAGACCGACGTCCCCCCCG